AGCAGTGTGACATTAAGCAAATCACCTAACTTCTCAAAATCTTGTCATCTGTGAAAATAATAAATAAATAATAAGTGATCATCTAAAAGTTCCTTTGGCTTTTTGACATTTCTGTAATTCTCTCCAATCATTAGTTGAAGTCATCTGCATAAGGAGGCCTCAGTTTCAGATATGAGTTCACTTTTCCACTCCCTGTACATAGTTTACACTTTTCTAAATCCATGCTTTTCCCTTTCCATCTGGAATGCTTTCTTTTTTCATAAAATTTCAACCAAACTTTTAAATTATTTGTCTTAATGATTGCAGAAATAACCATGCCCTCCTCTGAATCCCTAAGCATTTATTATCCCACCACTCATTCATAAGGCATTTTAGCATTTATAGCACAAGAAAACTCCACAAGGGGCATTACAATAGGCAGTGCATATAAGATTAATTGCTGGAAAAGTGGTTTGTACTGTAGTTCTCAACATGTGGTGGACAAATCACAGGAGTTTCTGTGACTCTTTTCCTTTCTCTCTCACTGATCAGATCCCCACTGCTGTGTCATTCACTCCAGGTGTTGAATTCAAGTATTTAGGCCATAATCCACAAAGCAAGGGAGAACAAATATAGTAATGATTGAAGGCAAAATGGAGATACAATGAAATGAATTAATGAAAATAATGACTTGGATAAAAAGGAGAGTTCAAATTCTGCAGAAAAGGTGCAGTAGTGCCTTTGCTGGGGGGTGGGGTTTTCTATCTGTGATGCTAAATTTTGTGTTCTTCCAGAGAATCCAGTAATCAAAAGTATTTGCTCTTTGTTCCTGGTTTTTAAAAGCTATAAAGAAAATCAAAGATTTTAAGTAAACTTTCAGTGGATCTGAATTTACTGGCAGGTGTCGGCTCTGTGGTCATTTCATTCTGAGTCCATTGCTGCCTAGCTTTCCCAGTGAGATTATCTTCCCCAAAGTTACTCCTTACCAACTTTGTGTTCTAAGACAAATAACTTAATATAAACTTCATAGGATGTATGCTAGCAGTAAATGGAAAAAATCTCTAAGACACAGAACACAAAAATAAGCAACAATTACTCCACGGTAACTTGTTCCTACTTCTGTGCTTGAATCACACTGCAATTGGCTTCTGACATCACTCACAAGCCATTTCTTCCTCTGCCAACACAAATCCTCTCCCCTCGGACTTCTCTTTGAATAATGTGCCTTTCCAAAGTGTCTATACATTTCTTGATTGTACAAATTATCTTAGTCCTCTCCTCCCTCAACCCTGTTTAATAACCTCTTTTATTCTGGACAGACCACAACATATACAAACATAGAAAGAAAAGCATCTTTAAATCCCGGGTAGTCATCATTTTAGACAATTTTTAAGACATGGGCAATTTTGTATTACTGTATTATCACCAGACTCCTACCCTCCAACCCCACATAAATACTGAATTATTTTGAAGCCAATTATAGATATTACATCATATCATTTGTAAACACATCAATATTTATGCATTTTCTAAAGAATATGTAAGAATCAGAATGGTTCTATGGAAAAATTCTTAGTAATTATGGGGAGAGCAATGAGACATGGTAGTAACATGTATCCCTAAAAAATGTGACCCAGGGATAAATGGGATAGGAGTTGGAATGAAGTAGTTGAATTTAACAATTAAAAAAAAAAAACCTTTTGTTTTTAAAAGCACTTCCAGCAGACAGGTAAGGATGAAAATCAGATTTGCTGTGGGGCTGCAAGATATGTTCAATATACATAAAGCAACAGAAAAGAAAGATTAGTTAAAACATACCTGAAAGCAGTGATGGCTTCCAAGGTTTGAACAGATCAAGGTCATATTGCAGAGTAGACAGGTTTCAGTTATATTATGATAAACAATAAACACTGTCCTTCATGTATTTAGCAAATATTTTTCCTTTTTACTATATGCCTTTATTTTTTAACCTTTACATTTGATTCTTAATTAATTTTATTATCATACTTGTTTTCACTGTGAGAGTTTCTTCAGAAAATGATATCTGATAATATTCTAGTGTTTCAGGAACTAGGTTTCAGAAACATTAGCATTTTATTAAGTGTGTTGCTCAATAAAGTACCTTCTATATGTGGTGTATTAATATTTTATTAGAATTGGTATTAACATCTAGTAGTGTCTTTTTGGACATCAATATGATTTCCTTTGTAAAATTATTATCAATACTGATTTATATTTTAGACTTTCTTTGAATTTTAAAATAAGCTGTGTTTATTATGAATATTTCTTTTAAGGCAATAACAAATTGATTTTACCAACATCTAGGATCTCTACATTCACAAATGAACAATGAGTATAAACCAGACACATAAAGTGATGAGCACCATGTATATTTGTCATCATGAAGGAAGACAATTTGAGGATGCTGAGGGTGATGCGAGTTTCTAAAGTTAAGCTAAGAAGCTCTCTATTATACTTTTAAGTTCAAAGCACAAGAATTAGCTCTTCAAAATTTAAAGAAAAAAAAAATTCCCCCCAAATCAAAGTGGGCTAGATAACATTTATTTTGCAGTATAGCACTTTGGCCTATTTTTTTTTCAACCTTTACATAGTTTTGATCTAATTCAGTTTCCTTTCTTGAGTCCCCATACTTGTTTTCCTTAAAAGCTACTTTTATTTTAATAATGTGTATTGGCAGAACTAAGATGTATAAAGTACTTAACTCATTTTTTAACTCCCCTTTTAATCTACCATTTCTGTTATTAGCAATAAACTGATTCATGTAACACTTCCATGTCAGTTATTAGTATTGCAAATAATTAGCTTACTGTTGAATATGAGAATACTAATTTATTAATTTACTTCCTTGTCTACATTAAAAAAAATTCTTTTGTTACTTAACTTTAAGTAATTTTACTTTTTATGGTCATTAATTTGCTTTTAATGGCAATCTAAGTAATAAAAATTAATTTTTTTTGTTATCATTAGCAAAAATTTAGTCAATCATCTTTAACTTAATAATGTGTAAAGGACATGCTAGCATTCTCTGTAGTGTCCTGAATTTAAGTTTGTGCTGCCAAAGTGAGCACAAACAATGCCAGTTTTTTACTTGCCTGTAGAGTAAATGAAATTACACAATTTGTACCTCACAGTTTCTATACCCACAGGAATTCTGATCTTACCAGACAGTGCAAATGTTGCATTAGACGAACTTAAGTTTTATGTCCGTTTTTGATATGCACATATTCTAATATCACTCTGCCTTAGGTTTACCTTTGAACAAGAGGACTGAAAGGAAAGGGATCTATGATGACTCTTCCTTTCCCTTTTCTTGTTTCATTTTTACCATAGGTGGTTTGTTAATACAGGAAAGTAATAAGAGTGAGGAAAGATATAGCAGCGTTTCCTACACATTAGTGTTTCCTAGTAACTCACTGCCTTCGTTTTGCATTTTTTTCTTTTTTAAATTTGGAGATTCTGAATCATTTAGGATTAAATACTATCAGATTAGGTCTAAGATATACAATCCATAAAGAACTTTCTAATCACATTTATTGGTTTCATTTAATTTGAATACATTTGCCCCCAAAAGCTGAATGCTAATGCTAATGATGCCTTTAATAAACAGTATTCTTACACTTTGACTTCTTATTTCTATCATAATTGTGCATACATTCCCCCATCACTATAACTTTTTTAATCTCTAGTAATTTTCTCTGAATTTCAGTTATTTTTATGATTTTTCATTTCAACAGCTTCAGATAAATGCGTGGCTTATTTTCATCCTTTCTTATTTAATTTTATCTAAAGCTTGGTCAGAAATTTACAGTTTAATATATAGCTTTTCTGTTGTCATAGTCTAGTGTGTAACTGCAATCTTCCCTTTTATAGTTAAAGGTGATTCATAAAGTTAATTAACATGTAAAGTCTCCTACTTTTGTTTTTTGGGGAAGAAATCCTTTAATTATTGATTTTTATCGCTCTTCATCATATTTATCTCTACTTGTATAAACTTTAGCTCAATGTCCTAGGACTAGCATATATGCCATCTCCTTCCATCTCCACAATAGTATAGTGTTCTCTCCCTTCTCCAAAAGCACATATATGTGCATGTAGGATCTATAAGCACTTTATATATATAAAACCACTTCCCTTGCTCCATTCCCACACTTAGGCTATCTTATTCGTGTTTATCATCTTTGCAGCTTAGTTCAATAGTTTGAATTTTCACAGGAAAATTATATTCAATGCAAGACATTTTTGAATGCGTCAGATATTGCATTAGGCACTAAGGTAAAGTGTTAAAACGGAAGACATAATTCTGGTCTTCAAGAAACTAGACTATGAGGAGAGATGAACAACTAAACGCATTAAATAGCAAAGTGAGCTCAAGGCAAAGAAAAACAAGAGGCGTGAGCGAACACGTCCTTTCACAGGCGGAAAAAAGGGTTGGACGGCTATTTCGACAGTTTTGCCAAATAGCGTAATAATCCAACCCAGTATAATCCATGGTACGTGCCTCAGAAACAGTTTAAGGGGCTAGGGAATCAACCTACTGGAATCAAAGTGGGGAGGAATGGAGAGTTAGATCTGCGTTTTACACAAATTTCCCAAGTACTAGAGTATCCAAGTTTTATATGAGGGGGGGAGCAAAATTCGCCGACTTAGTTCCCCAGTTACTCCCGCCTTCAAGCCACGGGAAAGCCTGAGTCGTTTCTTCCCTCCCTTCCACGATAGGCGGCCAGGTACGAGGGCACACCGGCCACAAGCCACAAAACGGGACGCTTTAAGCACCTGCCGCTGAGTGCCGCTCAGTGAATTCGCAGACCTGTTCTGCAAAGGATCCTGGGAAAACCCAACAGGCCAATCTACTGGGCGGGAGAGGCAGCAGGTGAATCCGATAGGGAGGTTTGTTTGATTGACACTACATCGGTCCAATAAAGGATGAGCAATAGTAGCTCTCAGGCGTTAATGGGTAGGACATTTGTAACTTCAGCCAATCCAGTTCAGTATTATCTACCTTGGGGGAGGTGCTTGAGGCCGCTCTGGTCGTTGACGTCTGTTGAACGGCTTGTGAGGTCTGCCTGCTTTGGGTAGGGTGTTAAAGTCGTTCTCGAGAAGAACGTCTGTCGGAAGAGAAAATGAGTTTAGCTCTGAGGTCGGTAATGAGGCGGCAGTGCTCTCCATGCCCAGCAGCGGGACGCTGGGCGGTGTATGTGGAAGGGAGGCAGATGGGGCCGAGTCTAGGGAATGCAGCTTGCAGCTTGGGACAAGGAAAGGGCGCCTCGGCCATCCTTCCAAGGGCGGGACCCTCACCTGTGGGCTCTGTTTTCCTGCAGGTAGTAAGCCCCGTGCCTTTCTGCTGAGGTGGCCATTTCTGGGAGCTGGGGCTGGGGCCGCCGAAAGACGGGTGGTTGTTTTGGTCATTGAGAGGAGGGAGTGAGGTATCGCGAGCTTTGTTTGTGCTGTTTCTGCGGGCTGTGGGCCCTGGGCTGCTCAGCCGCCGGCTCCGCTCCCGGTGCATCCTCCCGCTGCACTGTGTGCGGCTCACGAATTTACCTGTGGATTTGGAAGTAACACAAACCCGTGCTTTTTCCCTGAGGCCTTGCTTTATGGTAGAAATGTAGATCCACTGTAGAGACTTACAGACTCCATCAGTTGAAAACGTTCATCAATATTGCAAGCCCATTCGAAAATTTGGAACAATGTTAGATGGGTGTCTCTTAGCAAAGGTGTTTCCAACCTGCCAGACTATTTTATGTTTTTCCAGAGTTTTAGAATTTAAATCTATAATTTACATGTTAAAGGGAGACACAAACACTGACTTCACATTGTTTAATGGACTTTAACACAAATATTATAATATACCCTTTGACAATATTCCTGATAATGTTTAGATTCACATTTTGACTGATTTGTTCTATTAGTGAAAGAAGTTACAAATAAAGTGACAATCTTAGAAACATGTAATCCAAAAGCATTTGGAACACACACCAAAATTATTTTTCAGTTAATCGCTAAGTTATGTGGTGTTATTTGGTAGTAATTTTTTATCGCTATAAGCATTATCAAAAGTAAACTAATGTCAGTTTTGAATTTTAATTTGGAAATTTATAAAAACACTATAAAGTGTGAATAAGTATGAGGGCTATTTTATTTTTTTTGGTTAGGGTTTCTGACATAAAGTGATATTTTTTTACTCTCAGTTCTTGTTTCTTTCACAGTGGTGGGAATAAATAATCCAATTGGAAGGAAAGTTAATTACTTTTACTTTTCTTTTAATAACCTGTAACACTTCAATACTGACAAGTGCAGATTTACGTCAATTTAGACTAAAGGCTTGAGCAGAGCTTTGACTTATGTAGGGAAAATTCTTTTTTTCCAAAACACTTCCTTTGGAAAGTTAGAAAATTGTAAATTGGCAATGCTTTGTTGCATTTTGGAGTGTTATTGGATGGATAATTTATTGACAGGGGACTAAGCTTAAAATGGACTAAAGCGATGTTTTTCCTTTTTATTTTATAGAAATGAGCTTGTAGTAGACAAAACAAAGAGGAAAAAACGAAGAGAACTCTCTGAAGAACAGAAGCAAGAAATTAAAGATGCTTTTGAACTATTTGATACAGACAAAGATGAAGCCATAGATTATCATGAATTAAAGGTAACAGTATGCTTTGCACATTTTTTTTTTCCTTTTAAATGATTTGCGTTTTTGACAGTTCAGGAAACTACTTTTCTAAATAAGTACTTTAAACTGGATTTGAAAATATAAAACCATTTTTAACATTGGCAGTTAAGCACTCTAATAAAATTGAACATTACTTCCAACATGTCTTTTAAAAGAAATCCTTTTCATAGGGTAAAATGAATAGTATTTTGAACTAAAAATACATTTCTATGAAGATTGCGGGTTATAGGATTAAAACAGTTCTTACTATATTCTCAGTGTTTTTGTTTGTTTTGTAATTCCTGTTTTGGGTGAGTAATAGTTTTTTAATTTGACATGTTAGCAACACAGTGTCAACCTAGTCAATGTAAGTGATGCCTGATGTTGACACATGCTACTGGGGAAGAATGTTGGCTTTCAGGCCTAGAATTACTTAGGAAGATTCAAGGGGAAATTGATGTTTAGGGCTGTATGGATTCTTACATTTTAATCCTCTTTAGCTCTCTTTTTAAATTATTTTTAAATTTCCCAGCCTTGATTAAAAAATTTTCTTTTATGCCTCTTTTGTTTTTTGCAGTTTTTATTTCTAAGTTTGGAGTTTTATTAAACACGTGGATCTTCCTAACTGGTTTATCTTTGTACCCTATACACTATCATGAGATTCATTTTTTAAAAATTTCTTTCATCATAGTGTTCATTTCTCCTAAATTTTGAGTGACTCCTTATTATATACTGTGTAAAGTTCAGATTCCTTTGATTTTAATTTTACACTTGTATTACCATTTTCCCATTGGCTAATTGCTTGCTTCTACCTGAGTTCTTTCTGTTCAGATAAGGTAAACTGTTCTTTGCACTGTCTAACACAGTTTATATTGTATTTCAGTTTTGATAAGTTGTCCTTTTCTAGGTACTCTCTTATTCCACATTAGCTATACATCAAGGAATAGCTTTCCTCTCCAAGTAAGATTTCTTCAACCAGTAACATAGCAAGATTTCTTTCTCAACTTAGGGTCCTGTATTATTACTTCCTTAATAATTAATCATGAGGGTTTGATAATGATCGTTTTAACTTTTTTTCATTTCTAGTATATGCTTTAATGTCTTACTTTTTTCCCACTTTAATCCTTTGAGAACAAATAGTTTGTTAAAATTTTTTCAGTGCCTTGTTAGGGTGTAGCCTATAAACACTAATTGATTGTTTTGTCATGTTAAATAAAAAGGACATAGAAATGAAAAAATGGCCATTAATTTTAGTAGTGAAGAAAAGCTACCATTTTAGAGACATAAAACATAGTATTAGTGTATTATTATCTTTGAATTTGTAAAAACTTACTAAGAATTGGAAGTCACTTTTGTGAAAGACTACTTCAATAATTTGCTTTTCCCTTTTAATCCAAAAGGTGGCAATGAGAGCCTTGGGGTTTGATGTAAAAAAAGCTGATGTACTGAAGATTCTTAAAGATTATGACAGAGAAGCCACTGGAAAAATCACCTTTGAAGATTTTAATGAAGTTGGTGTGTATTTTGATCGTCTTTGTAATCAGTATTTGTTAGGCAGTTATCTGGCTAATAGCAATGTTTTTTTAAATTTCCTGGGTTATAGAATTTTGCTAGTGACTGTGGTTGTAAATTTTGTATCTCATTTGTTTTATTTTTTACTTTTTTCCCTGATTTTCAAAGAAAATAACATTTATAGCTTTGTTGTATGATTATCATTTTGTTTCTTGTTTTGTTCT